GTTGCGCTCGCGAGCCAGTCGCGCCGGGTGCCTTTTGGGGCCTTTATATTTGCATGACAATGGAGTCCCAGTGACGCGACCGCCGGCGGCCTGGCGATTGGGTGGCGTCCACGTGGGGGCGGAGCACGGGGCGGGGCGGCGGCGTGCTCCGTGCCGGGGGTGCTCGCTGCGGGCCGCGCGGAGGTGAAGGCCAGGTGGCCACGAGGGGTCCGCAGGTTTCCCTCCCCGCCGCCCTCTCACCCCCGCCCTTGGGGTTTCTCCACGTCTTCTTTGCGGCCGTCCCGCCCACTCTCCCTCCGGCCACCTGGGGAATTCCAGGCGCTCAGCCCAGGGCGAAGGGCGACCTCACGGTGGCGCCAGGGCCTGCCGGTTCAGCCTTGGGGAGTTGCTGGCCTCACAAGCCCTGGAACACAGGAGGGACCTGCCGCTGCGTGCGTGCCGCAGCTCCGCACTGGGCTCCATCCTGGGGCGGGGGGTGGGGGTAGTGGGTGGTGAGGACACAGATCCAATCGCTGGGCCGAGGCAGGCCCCGGGGGTGCTACGCGGTGGAGAGGCGAGTGGAGGCCCCCGTGCTTGGATGCACCGACCCTGGCCTGAGAGTTTTACATGGCCCGCACTGAACCGCAACCAGCCTACTTGTGAGGCTAGAGCCAATGAAGCAGCAGGCCCGGCCTCTTCAGGGAACCCCGAAGCTGTGCTGACTTGGGGTCTGAGCCCTGCCTCCACCCAGCCCATCAGCATGAGGGCAGGACATTCTAGGCCAACAGGGCTGACCTGGTGGAGGGAGCGGTGGAAATCCCATATATTGCCCACAAGGTCCTGGGAGGCAGGTGGGGTCCAATTTCCTCATTAGGATGCTCCAGTTTATAGCTCCTCTGCGGTGGCTGGGGGGAGGGCTGAGCCAGGTGAGCAGGCCGACTCAGGAGCCTGGCAGGCCAAGGCTTGCATTCCTGTGGGAGCTGGGTGGGAGAGCCAGGCCCTCGTTTGGCCTGGGGAGGCCACCCCACAGGCTCTGTCTACCAGGCTCCCTTGGGGGCCTGCCTGTGGCCCCCATGACAAGCACCCAAATGGTGAGCCCCCAAACTGCTCAGTGCCTTTGGAAGGGTCCCAGCCTAACTGGCAGGAAAAACCAGGTGAGGCCAACCTTGCTGGCTGACTCTGGACGGTGACACCCCACCCAGTCAGCCACCCAGTCAGACCCTGCTGACTGGGATGGCTGAGCTGTCCCTGGGCCTTGGTGGCCAACTCAGAGCAGAGCCCCTGGGCGGGGGGGGGGTGGGTGGGGGGTGGGGGGGGGGGGGGGGGGGGTGGAGGGGCAAAGTGGGCTCTTCCCAGCCCTGGCCTAGCTTGTCCTGCTCAGACCCAACCCCAACAGCTCTCTGGTTGCTGACTCCGGGCTATCCCCACCCCGCAGGTGGGGCCGTCCAGGCTCAGTGGGGCCTTGTCGAACTGCAAACTGAGGTCCTGGTCAGGAGGTAGGGCAGGGGTCCTGTGTCCTCAGCAGGTGTGGGGGTCCTGTTAGCACTGGAGCTTCTGCCTGGAGCCCCTCTTGGGGATGGGCCCTAATGGATGTGGCTCATGAAGCAGCTGGGCCGGCCTCTCCAGGTGGCACCCACACGGTCTGCCCATGGGCCATGGCTGTGGGAAACCTGCTCCTCCAGCCCAGGGTGGCTGCCTGGAGGGGGCTGTGACCCCATTGCTGTTCGCTGTGGACAGCCCCAGTCTCTCACAGAGGGGCACAAGGGGTGGGGCTGGGGTGCTCCTGGAAGCAGGCTACCAGAAGGCCCTTGGCAGCGCTCCAACCTGTCGGGCTAGGTCCTGGCCTGTTAGCCACCACAGTCCCCTGCTCCCTCCCTGGAGGCTGGCCATAGCCACACAGCAGTGTGGTAAACACAGGGGGCTCCGTTCAACACAGGGGACGCTCTATCAGCTCCCTCCCCACCCCAGGTGGGCTTGGCAGGATGGGCCCTGAGCGGCCAGGCAAGCAGAGCTGGAACATCCCTGAGGCCCTGGGAAGAGAAAGAAAGGAGGGTCCCGTGAGCCTGTGTGGGCAGGAGCTCACCAGGGGCCATGGGGTCAGTGGCCTGACTGGGTCCCTCCACTGGGGTCGGCAGGACCAGGGCGTGTGTCCAGAGCTGCTCGGCCCCTTCAGTTCTGTGTGCGTGGCCGCTGGGTGGACAGGCCTGGGAACAGGCAGCCGGAGGGCAGGAGGGCACCCCCCGCCCCCGTGAGCACTTCCTCCATCTCTGCTGAACTGAGATGGTCCCCAAAGGGGACGCTGGACTGGAAAGGTCAGTGAAAGGGAGTGTGGTCCCAGGCAAGGAACCCCGCAGTCTTGACTCGGCCCAGGCTGGGCTCAGGCCACTGACAGACCACCCTGGCTTGGACATGCAGCCTCCTGTTCACCCTGGCATGTGTGTGTGTGTGTGTGTGGCACTGGAAAGGACCCCTTCCAGCCCTTCCCTGGGTCCCTGGCACTGCCACTTTGAAGGCACTGGACAGGGAGGGGATGCCAGGGGACAGTGAGCAGCCTGGCAGTGGGGGCGGGGCCTCCAGCTAATTCATTAACATGTGCCGGGGAGCGTGGGAAAGAGGGGAGGGTTTCTTCCCAGCAGCAGTGCAGACACCTGGTGGTGGAAGGGCCCAGAGAGGGTAGAGATCAAATAACAAGCGGGGCTGGCCCGGCCAAGGAGGAAGGTCGCCCGCCCAGGCAGGAACTGCTGCAGACAATCGCTTGCGGGCCGCCAGCTCCTCTGACTTAGGCCTGGCACTGGGGTCCAACCAAGACCATCGCAGCTGGCCGCCGCTGGTGGGCCTGCCCCGGTTGGGCAAGCATGACTGGACCTCGGAGGGGAGGACCCAGTCCCATCTATAGTGGGCCGGCCAGGCATCCAGGATGCAGCTGGGCCGGAGGGGCCACTTCCTCTTGGTCCTGGTGAGGGAGAGCCAGACCTTGCCCTGAAAGGTCCTGGGCCCATCCCTGGGGGACAGCCCTTATCCCCACGGGGTGCCCATCAGACCAGTTTCAGCCCCAAGGTAAGGTCCCAGCAGCACCAGGCAGTGATCACAGGGGGTGGGCCAGTTTTGGCCCAGTGCCCCCCAGCAGGGCCGGCCCAGTGGGGGCAGGGCTATGTGCTTGGTGAGGGAACCCCAGCTGGCACTGTGCCCCCAGATGAGGCAGAGAGGGAAGGATGGCAGTCCTGAGAAGCACACCTGCAGCCTGTGGGGGTGGGTCTGGGGCTGAAGGCTTCCGCCTACCAGCAGCTCTGCCAAATCAAGGCTGGTTTCCGGTAAAGCCAGGAAATTCAGGAAAGGGATGTAGTGGGTGGGTGGAGGGAGGCTGCTGGAAGTGAGCTTGGCTGGCCTGCACCTCTGGACAAGGTCCGATGCCTGGCCAGTGCTCCTCTCGGAACCCTCTGCCCAGTGCCCATATCCACTGTCCCCCATGGGGGCAGGGACAGGCTTGTGTGATTGGCTGAGGCTCCTTCCTGGCTAAGCACAGGGCTGGAGCACCCATGTGGTGTGGGAGCAGACATCCTGAATTAGCCCAGTGCCCTATGTGGCTTTCCTCAGGGGAGGGGCCCCCATGCCGGGGCGAGGCTCACAGACCATCCTGTCCACACCCAGCACCGGGTGGGCCCTGAGACCTGCTCCCCCGGGAAGCCCTTCCCTTGTCGGACCCCACAAGGGTCCTGCAGCACCCTGCCACTGGCACTGTGGGCTGGAAGGTCCAGCCAGGAGGCCCCCAAGAGCACGAAGCTGCCTGGCCTGGTTGAGAAGTGCAGTGGCCAGGGGGCCACTCAGCTTTGCCCTGGGCCGCTGTGGCCCTTAACACGGAGAGAGGCAGTTAGCGGCCTGCAGGATGGATGGATTTCAGGTCACCTTTATTGCAGGGGGCTGACCAGGTAGAGTCACGGGCTGGGGTCCCCCAGGAGCTCTTGAAACTGCGCAGTCAGGCGGCTCAGGTGGGATCCTTCCCAGAAGACCTTGCCACAGCCCGTGCAGCAGTAGAAGGGCCACTGTCCTGGGCGCCACAGCACACTAGCTGGCACCCCAGACAGCTGCAGCTGCGTGCCGTTGCCCAGTGTGGCCGGCGTGGTGCTCTGCAGGTCAGCAGTCTCCAGCCAGCGGCATGGGCGGTCATAGATGCAGTCCTGGGGGGCCAAGCCTGGGTGGGCAGGAGAGAGCACTGAAGGGCCCATGGCCCTGCCCAACCCTCCCTGGTCAGTGACCCCCCCACTGATGGATGGGCCCCTGGGAAAGCTCCTCAAGGGACTTACCTGTCCCCTGCCCATCCCTGCTTGGGGCGGCCTCCTCGTCACCTGGGAACAAGGATGGTCACAGGTCACGGGCTGTCACCCAGGGCCTGCCAGCAGGAGAGGGAGATAGGGCAGCGAGGCCACAGAGCATGGGGCCAGGCCAGCCTCTCCTGTGGGAACTCGCAACTTGGAAGGTTCTTGGGGCTCAAAGGTCCCTGGGAAACACTCTGGGCTTGAGATGGGTGGGTCGGCCCTTGGGGGCCTGAGAAGCTGTGGGGGCGGCAGATGAGCAGATAAGCTCTCTGCCAAGGAGCCGGTTTCGCAACCAGCAGGCACCGGGGTGGGGGGCAGGAAGCCAGTACTGGACGGTGTGTATGAGTTGAGTATGTGTGTGGTGGCTGAGATGTGGGCAGCTGGCGAGAGAGGTCTGCCCTCATGTACACCCTGTGATATGCTGGACTGCATGTCCTGCCCCCAAGACTGTGGCACAGGGGACTTAGTGGGGACTCCCGACTGGGAATTCGAGGCAACTTTAAACTGGCTCATGCCTGATGGGGCCAGAGCTGTCTGCACAGGTTAAGGTCTGGGAGCATGCTTGGCCAGAGCTGTGGTGGGGCAGGGTGATCTCCCTTGAAAGTCCACCCCAGGAAAGTCAGCTGGATGGGAGCCGCTGGGCAGGGGTGGGGCCAGCTGGTACCCACCTCCTTCCTGTCTGCTCAGGTCTGTGCAGGCCAGTGAGGGGATGTGCCTGGGTACTACGTACAGGAGTGTGTGTGTTCCGTGCTGTACCTGCAGAGGAGGTTTGAGCGTGCATGTGAATGTATGGGGTACAAATGAGTGTAAATGAATGTAGGATGATCATGTGTAAGGAGTGTGCATGTGAGAACGTGTGTAAATGGGTGTGTTAGCATGCATGTGAGTATGGGGCCTGTCAATGTATGTGTGTGTGCATGAGGTCATGCGTGTAAATTAGCAGGTGTGCGTGTGCCTGTGTATGCAGGGCTCAGCAGGGAGGTGGGGTGTTGGCAGGGCACTGAGGCTCAGAGGGCTGCCTGTCCCCCAGGAGGACTGCTGGCCTTCACCTGGGCTGCCGGCACCCTCCTGGCGTCCGTTGAGCTGCAGGAGGAGCTTCATCACGTCCTTGGAGACCTTCAGGTACTGATCACAGTTACACACCTGGGGGCACAGAGCTGAGCCTGAGTGGTGTCCCTCTCCAGGCCTTCCTGGCCCCTAAGCTCTGGGGCACCCCATGTGCCCTTCCTCTCCCAGCCCAGCGCCCCACAGCTCAGGCTACCACCAGCTGTCCACCCTGCTCTCTGACCCTTGATCTCCGCCATCCTCTTCCTGCCCCAAGACCTCGAGTGCAGGGTGCCCCCGGGCTCGGCCACAGCAGTGACACGGTGACACAGCATCCAGCTGGGCTTCAGAGTGTAACCCAGTCCTGGTAGGACTCAGTGCCCCTTGACCCAGCAGTGACCACATAGCCAGCCAGCTGCCAGTCCTGCTGCCCGCCCAATAGTTTCCCTGGCCCCAACACTGCCCGGACCAGGAGACAGCATGGCCCCAGCATGGCACTTCTTGGCCAGGTAGGGCCAGCTCAGCCTGATTCCCACACAGGTGCTTACAAGAGTCCTTGGACCGGGGACTCGAAGCCTGGGGAGCGGGGCCAAGGGCAGGGCTGGGAACTCCCAGGGCCCGGGAATGACACGGTATCTGCAGGCCACTGCCGTTGGGACCGGAAGTCAGGGTGCCCACGGCAGGGTGGGGCCCCTCCCCCACTGCTCTTCCCATGGGTGTCCCAACACTGTGGGGTGAGGGTGGGGAGCTAGCTGCAGCACCTCCACCAGTTGCTCACCTGCAGGCTGTTCCCCACCCCAGGATCCTCCCTCCTCCATTGGCCCCAGCCCCAGGAAGACCCCACCCAGCCAGGGCTAGCCATGGAGGCAGCTGGGGGTGTGCCCTGGTGGACACAAGGCCGGCAGTGGTCTAAGACGGGCCTTCCAGCCTTGCCTCGGGAGGGCCAAGAGCCAGGGGGCAGTTTTGGCCCTGGGTTGAGTGCCCCGCAAACTCTGCCTGGGCCCAAGGCCGGCGGTCGCAGGTGAGGGCGTGTTGGTGGAGCGGCAGGAGGCTGGGGTCCGAGGTGGGCGGCTGGGCGGGCTGGCCAGCTCCTGCTGAGTCACTGCCCGCCTCAGACACGCTCCCGGTCCGTTCCGCAAGGGCCTGGCCCCACCCTCGGGAACCACCGGGGCCAGTTTTCCCACGGCGGCCGCTGCCCGCTGGCGGGCCCCGCTGTCACCCCGATCGGCCCCCTCCCTGGCTGGAAAGGCCGGTTCTCTCTCCCGCCCGCCTGCAGTGCCCGCCCTCCACAGTGTCTGGCTGGCTGCCCAAGGGCTGGGCCTGGCACCAGAGCCGCCCTGGCCACCCTGGGGCCCTGGCCACCTGTTCCAGATAGGCACTGCTGGCCCTGGCCCCCAGGGTTCCAGTCCATCAGAGTACAGGATGGGTCAGGAGGAGGAGTGCCCCCAGGAGATACAGGCTTGCTGCCCCATTGCCTGAAGAAAGGGGCTCCAAGGGCTGAGTATTGGCCCATGGCCCCAGCACTGGCAGGGCTAGGTGGGGACACGAGGAAGCTCAAGGAGGGACCGAGGCAGGGCCAGCAGCCCCCCAGGAGCCTGCACTCCGGGGCTCCTGCAGGTCGGGGCCTGGCCTGGCCCCGCCTCCTAGTCTGGGGCCCCCAGGGTGGGGCAGCCTCCGCCCAAGAGCCCGGCTGGTGGGAAGGGCCGGGGGCATGGGCGGGCCCAGGTGAGTCGGGGGCAGGAGGGGATGGGAAGGCTCCTGGCTCCTGGTCCCAGGGCCCATTGACACTCAGGGTTCCCACAGCTCCCACAGGCCAGCAGCTGGAGCCCCTGCCCACTGCCCACAGATGATCTGTTCTGAGACCTGAGGGGAACCTAGCAGCAGCCCACCTGGTCAGCTGCCCACCCCCTGTCCCACAACCAAACAGGGCCCTGGGCCAGGCTGAGCCCCTTCCCCACCAAGGGCAAGTGTGGGAAGGGGCTCTTCTGGCCATGGGTCTAGGGCTGGAGCCCCACACCTGGGTTCACCTGAGCCGGCAGGTGTGTGAGGAGGGGGTGCAACAGGGCGGGACACCAACCACAGGTGAGGCATGGCCAGTGGAGGAGGGGGCTCTGATCAGGCAGACGGAGCCACACCTACACATGGTCCGTCCTCAGACTTTGGCAGCCAGAAGTCACCAGCCATACCCGCCAGGGCGACAACGGTGACAGTTCTCAACATGTAGGGGCCAGGTCACGGACTCTGTTCTGCCTCAGGCACCCCCTGCCCCCAGCACTCCCCACCCTTAGCATCCCCTGCTTTGAGCACCCCTTGCCCTGAGTACCCTAACCAAGTATCCATCAGCCCTAGGAGCCCTTGTCCTGGTTGCACGGGGGCCAAGGAATGAGGTGGGCAGGGCTCACTTCTTCCAGGGGTGAGGTCCACTGGTTGCCCTCCCCCTCCACACACACAAATCAAACCTCCTGGGGAGCTGAGCGTGGATGGAACACTGGGTACAGGCCTGAGTGGGGCAGGGCAGGGCCATGGAAGCAAGGCCTGGCTGTCCCCAGGGGCAAGGGCGGGGCAGCAGTCAGGCTGTCCAGCAGTTTCCAGGGCCTCCTGGCACCGTCCATTGAAAAGCAGTCAGATGTCTGAGCCTTTGTCTGTGTGAACCTCACACCCTGAGCAAAAAAGCCAGTCCTCCCTGTAGCCTGCACTAAATGCACTTCAGGCAGCTCCACGGGGGCAGGGGGGCGGGCGGTGGGACGGGAAGCTTAGGGGAGACCCAAATGTGGGATGCTGGGCTGTGAGCCTCACGGTGAGGGGCTTCTGTGCTCATCAAGTGGGCTAGGAGACAGGAAACAGAAAAAATGTGGGTGCCGCCCGAGCCCCCCCTCAGTGGCTGTGTGCTCCCCCTGGCAAGACAGGGGCACCATCTTGGACACTTGCCATTTGGTTCCCAGCAGTGGTGGGTCCCAGGCTGGCCTGTCCATGCTGACCACTGGAACAACCCCAACAAATGGTCTAGCCAACAGGGCCAAAGGGTGGATGAAAGGGCCAGGTCCTTCCTTGGGCCTGACACCTCCAGGCGGTGTCCAGCGTCCACAGGAAGCAATCAGGCGCCGCCAGCTCCGGACCAGGGCCTGCCCCACACCTCCGATCCCATGGGAGCTGCCCACACCTCTGGCTCCACACCCCCAATCCCATGGGCGCTGCCCCACACCTCCGGCCCCCACTGTCCTGAGGCCTCGGGCGGGAGGGGGGTGTGCTGGGAGCAGGCCCACAGGGTGCCCGTGGAGACAGGGTACTGTGGTGGTAGAGCTGTGTGGAGTCCAGGCCTGCTGGGACCACCAGCTGAGAGCCCTCTGTCCTGGTGGACATGTGGGATGGAGAGGCCCTGGGGACCCGCTGGCCAGACTGCTCAGCAAGGTCTTGTGCCCCCTGAATGGCTCCAGGCCCCGGGGGCTTGCCTTGTCCTGCCCCTCTGGCCTGGGAAGGGCAGTTCCCACGGGCTCCAGCCCCTCCCCCAACGGGTCACTGCCCAGTCCCTTTGTGCGTCAGACAATGTCTGTGAAGCCAGGATGGGGGAGGGGTCCAGCCTGCTATGGTGTGTCCAGGGTGGGGGAGGGGTGTCCAGCAAGGTGCTCCAGCCCAGCTGCCCACAAGCAAGGCCTGCAGCACACGCAGAGCGAGTGGCCGACAGCCATCTGTGCACATGTGTGATGGGGTCCCGGGCTAGGGTGCCCAGGTACGTGGGGCTGACAGAGCACAGCCAGGTCTGTCTGACAGGGGTGACTGAGCAGCACACGTGAAGGCCCTGGGAGGTGTGCTTTTGGGGCCTCCCTTGGGCGAGCCAGCCCAGAGACCATTTGGGGGGGGCCCCTGGTCTAACCAGTATTAGCAGGGTGGACCTGGGCCTCTCACAGTGGGGGTGGGCTCAGGGGGCACAGGGCTGGATGAAGCCCATAGGGCTGGATAAAGCCCACCTGGCTTCATCTATTTCCAACTGTCTCCCTTCCACCCCCCAATCCAGATACCTGGACCTCTCTGATGACCATCCTGCATCTTGCCAGTTCAGGGCAGACAGGTCCCTGATGACTGCCCTACACAGGAGCCCCAGTTAGGATGGCCCCAGGTCCCAGGGGGCTCCTGCCCATCCTGCACCCCCCCGCCCTCATTTCCCAGGAGGGCCAGTTGCCGGTGTGCTGGTCCAAGTCCAGCTGGTTTTCAGACTCAAGGTTTGAGTGGGTCTCTCTGGGACTCAAGTTTAACAGGGTCCTGGGTTCTCATTTGGTCAGTTTGTCTTGCCAACAGTTAGAAGGACACTGAGCACAAGTGGGCATTCGCCTTCAGGACCCCTGGGGCCCCACAGCCCTGTCCTGGGTTGTACACACCTAACAGCAGCAGCAGGGCACCATGCAGCCTCACTTAACAGCGGATGCTCACCTGCCCTCCTGCTGCACACACACACTCATACACATTCACTCTCATACAAACACAGTTGCTCTCATACACACACTCAGTCACACACACACACACACACACTCTGGGGCTTCCTCCCGAAAGGACCCCCTCCAGTCTCCCAAGGGTCCCTAGAGTCCTTCTGAGGTCTCCAAAAACCCCACAGTCCTTGGAGCTCTTAAGCACCCTCTTTCCTGGGGCCCCCAAGTGACCCCGTGCACCCCCTGTCCCTGGGGTTCCTGCGCCCCGAGCCGCCGTGAGGCACGGGCTCGGCGCAGCGGCCGTTCCCAGACGGGGGAGGGGCGGCGCCGGCCGTGAGACCCCGCCGGCGGCCAGGCCGTGGGAAAGCGGGAGGAGGGGCGGCGCTGAGGGCGGGGCGCGCCTGGGAACGGCCCCCGCCCCCGCCGCCGCCTTTGAAAGGGCCACTCAGCAGAGCTGGGCGGAGATTCAAAAGCCAACGGCCGCCGCCCGCCCGGCCCGGCTTCCCGCGCGGGGCGGGCGGGCTGGGGAATCCCGCTGGGGTGGGAGGTAGGGACTAGGGGCGCTGGAGACGGATCTGGTTGTTTTTTTTTGTAGACGGGTCTTGGCTAGGTGGGAGAGACAGGGAGACGAAGGTCCCCCGACCCCCCACCCCGATCCGCAGAGCCCTGGGGAGGGGGAGGCCTGCTGTAACCCTGACTGCCTACTTCCTACAGAGGGGATTGCAGCCCTGGTCCCAGACGGCTGGAGGCAGAACCCGAACCAGCTCCACGCGCCCAGCCTGGGTCTGACCCTGTTGGAATCATCAGCCCAGGGTCCAGGGCTTTGCCCAGGAGCACCCCGAAACTCTTAAGAGGCAGGACTCGGTCATTGACCCCCTAGGCGTGCGCGCGCGCGCGCGCATGTGTGTGACAGAGGACTTCCAGGAGGAAGTAACATTTCGGCCTGGCTGCCCTGGTGGAGGGGGTGGTGGAGATGCTGCAGGACCCAGGGACTGAGCCCGGAAGGACGGGGCGGAGTAGACCTCGCTCCCTTCCAGAGCCTGCCCCCAGCACTCCCCTCTCCCCACCTTCCTGGCAGGCCAGGCCACACCCAGCCTCCCAATCATCCCTGGTCACTGGACCTCTGTTTTCAAGCCTTCTTCACCTCCTGCCCCTTCAGGCCTGGGGTCTGAGGAGGGGACCACCAGCCGCTACATGCCCTGGGGCCACTGCCTCCTAAGGCAGAAGGAGGGCTGCGAAGGCAGACCCCAGATCTCATCTCTCATGGTCTCCACAAATAGATCTGTGGTCAGCAGTGAGAGCCTTAACCACTGCTCCACCAGGGCCTCCTGTGGCCCCCCCAACCCCGGGGAGTCCTCTCTGTCTTGTGAGGCTGCTGGCTGAGGCGGAGTCCACTCCAGGGGCAGTGGGTTTGAAGTGTCTACAAAGGTGGCAGGACCCCTCCTCTCTGCTGGGGTGGGGGGGAGGAAGCAGCAGGCTAGGGCTAGAAGGGGGCCTAGTCTGTGGGCATAGCCAGGGTGTATGTGTAGCTGTGTGTGCACACGGGATGGAGTACATGGGAGGGCATGTATGTGTATGTGCATATGTACACTTGTGTGTGCATGAGGGGGGCATACATGTGCCCATAGGTATGTGTATGTGTGCACACACAGGGAGGGCCCGTGTGTACATGCATGCACAAGGGAGAGGGCGTGTGTGTGTGTGTGTATGTGTGCACACACAGGGAGAGCGTGCATGTGTGTACATATGTATATGTGCACAAGGTAGAGTGTACATGTGCACATGGAGTGTGTACATGTATATTTGTGCACACAGGGAGGACATGCATGTATACATGTGCTCATGTACATGTGTGTGCACACAAGGAGGCCATGTGTGTACTTGTGTGCACAAGGGGGGTTGTATGTGTGTTTATGGGGTGTGTGTACACATATAAGCACAAAGGGAAGGTCTTTGTGTACATGTGTGCATACATGTACACATGGGGGTATATGTGTGTGTGTTTAGGGCCTGCATGTGTACACACATGGGAGGGGGCATGTATGTGCATGTGGTGGGCATGTGTGTGTCCATGTACCTCTGAGCCTGTGCATTTGTGTGCACAAACAACATCCTGAGAGTGATGGTGTCCTGTGTGCACCAGGGCTGTGCTCTGCCAAAGCTGCTTCATTCCCTTCCACCTCTGCTCAGCACACTCTAGCTTCCACTATCTTCAGGCAGGGCACACCTGCCTCCCCCTGAGTCTGAGGGGCAGTTCTGTCCCCATGTGCCCCTTGGAGGCTACGTTTAGCACACTGACCATTTTTAAAAGCAGACAACAGATCTGTCACTATCCAGAAAGATGCAGCCATCTCTAAACTCTAAGGGAAAGGCATAGTCAGAAACATTCTAAGTGAACCCCAGACCCCAGCTGATGGACATGTCTATTAGAACCATCATGCTTGGCCTTAGCGCCTGCTCTGGGCAGATGCAAGTCACAGGCTGGGTAAGGGTCTGCAGCTTATGTGAGGCTGGTGCTGAGACTGACACACAAGCCTCTTCATGTTGGCACGTTCATCTCCCTGCACACCGTTTCCAGAGGGACTGGCACCCCCTACCCCCAGTACTCGCCTAAGCTGCCCATGGCTTGGTGCAGAGAGCCTGTTGTGCCACATGTGCCAGGCCATGGAGAGCAGCCCCTCAAATGCCCCCTGAGGAGACTGTGGTCCCCTAATCTCCTCTCGACTCATGTCCCTCTTCCTGCAGACTGGGAGAGGGGACAAGGAGAGGTGGCCGAGTGTGTCAACAGGTGAGATGTGCAGGGTTCCACAGGTCCTCTCACAGCTGCTGGGTTGAGATCGGGCACTCATGGCCCTTGGGGGCATGGGCGTGGGGGGGCGGGGCAGGGGCGGGGAGTTGTCCAGGGGCTGGCTGACTGGTGGGAAGAAAGGCTCTGGCCAAGGCCCAGGGCTTTTTCTAGAAAGCTGATAGAAGGGGAGGGTGGGAATGGGTGTAGGGAGAGGGGCCCTGGCTGGCCTCCTACTGTGACCCCCCTCCCCCTGATGAGGAGGCAGCTCCCAGAGCTCCCCAAGGGGCCTTCACCCCATCATCTGCTGAGCCAGGGATCTCACTGAGAAGAGGGGTGGGGTCTCCCTGTGTGGGGCTAGTGGACACAGCCAGGGTCCAAGGAGTCATTCCTTGTTCTTCTGTTCATTAATCCATCATCAGGATTGAGGGAGGGCAGAGGTCATGAGGGTCTCAGGTCTCACTGGTATAAGGATGTGGAGACCCTTGACCCTCATCCCCATGCCCACCCTGCATGGCCCAGACCTGGGGGCCCTGTCCCTGGGGACCCGACATCTCATCTCACAGGGTTACCATTGGGCTAACATCCACACACACACACACACACACACACACACACACTCCTGGGGTCACTGTCCCACCTCAGCCCACTTAGCTGCCGGAGGACACTGGGCTGTGTGGCCAGGCTTGCCGCTGGTTTTTTGTATATCAAGCTTATTTGCTAAGTATTTTCCCACGCCGGTCAGCGCTGGGAACGGCGTCTGTGTGGGCACTCTCCATGGACAACCCTAGCTGCCCTGCCAACTTGGAGGGAAAAGGGCATGATATGACCTCTGCCTGCACCAACTGAGCTTGTAGTGGGTACATACCCCAGGGGCTCTCAGCAGTGGAGCTGCCCTCCGCCCCCTTCTGAGAGGCCAGTCCCTTGCTACTGGCCTGGCCGTGCCCCTGGCACTCCCAGGGTTGTGTCCTCACCTAAGGGGACAGCAGGTGACAGGTACACAAAGGACCTGACTGGTGAGAACGCAGACCCCTTGGGGGTGACCACTGGTTACTTCTTGCCCTGCCCCTGTCCTCCCGGGAAGCTCAGGGGCCTTGAGGCGGCTGGGAAGGCTCGGGGCCATGGGGTCCCCTCTGGGAACAGCACCAAAATAGCAGAGGGAAGGAGAAGGAAAGGGAAAGGGCTGGGGGGGTGGGGGTGTCTCCTGGGAGGCGCCAGCTTGGCTGTGTGTGTGTGTGGGGGGGGTACACCGCACCAGGGCACTGGACAGACACTGTAGGCCAGAGTGAATGGGGAGGGGGTGATGGGGTGGTGGTGGTGGGTTCCTGGCCTATCCTGCAGGGTCTGCACCCCTTGGGGTGGGGGTGGGGGTTGTCTACTAGTCACCCTAGTTCACCCTGGTGCCTTGACCTAGTATCCACCTGCAGAGGACCTGCTGGGCATGGGCTCCAGAGGGTCAGCTGGAAGAGGCCTGGCCCTCCTGGTGCCCTGCACTCACACCCATAGGGCCTGTGGCCAGAGAACCTGGCAGGGCAGAGCTAGAGGCCCACCTTGTGAAGCTGCCTGCCAACCCGTGTGCTGGCTGAGGAGTGCCAGGAAGGGCCTCAACCAGTGCCCATGACTACAGAGCCTCATTTCCGGCCCCTCCCCCCTCACCAAGGGCCACCCCTACCTCCCCTCCGGCCGAGGGGTTTCCTCTGACAAGCAGGCTTCCTGTTTTCTTAAGAAAGCGGCCAGCGGCCTCCTCAGCAGCTCCTCCCAGGAGCCCGGGACACAAGGGGGGGTGGTGGGCAGCAGCACGCAGGGCACGGATGAGGTTTCTGTCCCCAGAGCAGTCAGTGCCTGCCCAGCAGGGGCAGCTAGGGGCTTCAGGTACTCCCTTGCCCTCAGCACAGAGCCTGCCCCTACCCCCCATCCCTGCAGGTGCAGAGGGCAGGCAGGTGCTTCTGGGAAAGAGGCTCAGTGTCCAATGGGCCCTCCCAGCCCCAGGCTGGCAAACCCTCACCTCGTTTGGAGCCAAATCAGCACCTCACCCCTGCCCCCGACCTGCTCAAGCCAGCCTCCAGCAGGGCTGTAGAGCCCCTGTTCTAGATCGGGGTCCCAGGGTTCCCCCACCTCTGAGACGTGACTCTGACCCAGAGCTCATGCCACTAAGCAGTGAGCACGTGCTCACTCAAACTCACACAGGATTCCTAGGTGGTGCAGGGCAGGCCTGCGGGCCCTCGGTGTCCTGTGCTGGGGAGGGCCTTGCGCAGCCAGCAGTGAGCCCACAGCAACTGGTCCCTGCCCCACATCTAACCAGACGCCCATCCCTGGGGCCCAGGGCCATGTCACCAGTATGCCTTCCGCATGGCAGTCATGGAAACCGGAGCCCAGGGGCCACCTGCAGAGAGACCCACCTGGCAGCGGCTGAAGAGGTCGGCAAGGGTGACGCGCACATTGAAGTGTCTCAGCACAGCCAGAGCCTGCTCCCGCACCTTGAGGGCGCAGTCCACCAGGAGGCAGCGGCCAGTCCCAACCTGGGCCCGGAGCTGCAGGGAGGGGCCGCACTGGGCTGGGCAGGGGCACACAGCCACTGCCAGGCCCACCTTTCCACCCACCCTGTGCAGCCTGGTGGCTGAGGGGCTCCTTACCTTGTGGTATGGAAGCCCGGACGTCAGGACCACCCTCTCTTCCTGCCGGGCAACCTGTGCAGGGGCCAAAGAGTCACAGCAGCTGCACATAGGGCTGCCCCACATCCCCGCGCGCCTTGCCCCGCCAGTTTCCTTGGCCTCCCAGGGTGCTTTGCCTGGGGTGTCAGCTGAGACTGGGCAGGAGTCACAGTGCCCAAACAGTCGGACAGTCAGAGAAACAAACTGGACCCGCAGAGTAAGAGTCAGGGACAGGTCTTTAAAGGTGACTGAGGAGACGTGAAGGAAAGAAGAGGCAGAACGCCTGACACCCAAGGCTGGAGTGTGTGCGGCAGACAGTGCAGGGGCAGCGGGCAGGGGCGGGCAGAGCCCAGCTGTGAAGAGGAGAAAAACCCAAGCCTCGGTAGGTGGATCAGAGGGGAGCTGGGGGTGGGGAGTGGGGGAGAGGAGGGAGGGAATGATGACTTGGCGTTTTGAAGAGAGATCAGAAAGACAGAGACAATATCTAAGGGGAGATGGCTGAGGGTGCTATGGAACCAAAGAGAGAGGCCACATCTTTGAGTCAGGAAGCCCAATGGGCCGGAGCGCTTCTTCAACACACACCCCCTCAGCCACAGCCACAGCGAAGCGCAGATACCAAGCAGACAGACAGATAAGCATGCCGTGGTCCAGAGAAGGGCAGACAGTACCTGGTATCCACCAACAGCTGGTGGACCCACAGCAAGAGGCCAGCAGCCAGGGAGGGGCAGCTGAGGCCCGTCCTGACCCAGCCACACCTCCTCTCCAGGGGGGGGGGCGAGCAGGGAGTTTACATGATCACGATCACTTCCTACTGAGCCAGCAGCAGCTCAGGACTGGGAGGCGGGGAGAGGAGACAGACATCCCAAGTTTGCCTGTCTTATAGATGTGATCTCAGAACAGTGGAAGTCGTATACAAAACAAAACACAAAGACTGCTAAAAACCATTAGAAAATTAAGCCACCTAGAGAAGAGATCTCCCAGGCGATTTGGAAGCACAGACACTGCCCTTACTAGAGACCCTGGCCTTCACAGAGTTCATGCTGTTACGGTCTCAGGCTAAGCAAAACGGCCCACACAGGGTCGAGTTGGTCAGGTGCCAAGCCCCTGGTTCAGATGTCAGGCTGAAGGCTTCTCCTGACTCGCACAGCCGCAGGGGCTGACGATCCCAAGAGAGGCAGCTCAGACTTCTGGCTGTAGAGGGGAATGAACCCGAGGCCAGCGGGTCAGTCGGGAGACTGCTGATGACTCCCAGAATAGGCTGCTGGCTCACGTCCAAAGAGCCAGAGTTCAACTGATGCACTAAGTGCAGGAATCCAGACCCAGCAAGCAGCAAGCAGGCTTCCCTCAGTCTAGTGCTCAGGGCTGTGACCTGAGGGAGGCCGCTGCGACCACTCCCATCTCCCCACAACTGGTGGGCTGCTCACAGACCTGGGGACTCGACTTCCTCGCTAGGCCACATCCTTGGGGGATGACTAGGTCTGAACTGCCAATCACTGAGAATCCTGGCCCAGCCAAGTTGACACAGAACATGAGATCTTCACAAAGATTTGTTTTCTTTGCCCTCTGGAATCTTTCATTCAGCGATTTGAACTCCTCACCTCTTCCATTTGCTTCAGCTGCTCAGTCTACCTTCAAGAGGGAGCTCCAGAAACTTCTGACATCCACGCTGGGCTTTTCTTTCTGCCCTGCCGCTGTGCTTTCTTCGCATGCCCATGCCACCCTTGACGTCCCCGCAGCTTGCCTGGTGTTAGGACATCAGTGTTTGATGTGTAGACTGTTCTTGAGATGGTCTACAAAGTCAGGTGGATGGTCAAGGTCATGGAGTATGCGTCAGGTTGCTCACCACGAGCGTCAGTAGTTCAAAACCACCAGCTGCTCCGAGGGAGAAAGATGAGGCTTTCCGCAGCTGTAAAAATTTAGAGCCTTGGTCTTTTCTTTCTTACTGTTTATCTGTCTTTTTATCTTTATATTACCATTTTCTTCTTGCTGTTTTGTTTCTTATTGTTTTTGTTGGGTTTCCCAGTTTGTGAGCCACAGAAGGAGTGGGTGAATAGAGACAATACCTGATGCAGTGGTTTGCTGGGGTGGGGAAGGTGAGGGGATTTGGGGAGCCAATCGTGAATGTGGGAAGGGGAGGGAGCCCTGGAACGGATTGTGATGAACATCTATCCAACTCTTTTACCAAGTGATTTAGCCCTGGAATGTAGGGTATGCGGACACCAAATCAAGGAAACTTTTTAAGAAAAGGAGAGAAGCCAGACTTGACCAACGTGACCAGGGTGACGGAGAAGGGTGTTGCTTAGGGGCACTGAGCTCGTGGTAATGGTGGTGGAATCATGGGGAAGACATCAACCACGGTCGTCCAGCACGAAGAGCATGACCAACGGCACTGAGTGATGCAAGGAGGAGTTGTGGGATTGGAGAATGTTCTCTTGTGTGTGTTTTTGCCACAATTAGAAAAACAATGCCACGAATAACACCGAGTACAAGGAAGAAGAAGACAACGTCTGGGATTGACTGTGGCCAGAACGGCGCAGCACTTCCTGACTCTTCTACTGAATTGTATGACTGGGGATGGGGTGTCCAGACAGCTGCTAGAAAAGGAAGGAGATGAGAGACCCCAGCCTGGGAAACCCATGGGGGCAGTTCAACGTTGTCCTCCGGGTCACTGTTAGCCAGAACCAACTGGATGGCGACGAGTGACGCTCAAGGCCCCACTTACTGGGTTCTTGTAGGCGAGTTTGGATGTTCTTCTGCTTCACCTGCACCTGCTCGGAGCAGGTGATGGTCGTCCTGCAGTTGGTCCCTGGGCTTGTTCTGACGGACGATGGACGGAGGAGGTGGTGTCTCCTGGCCTCGATCCACAGATGCACGTCCTTTGAGTTCCCTGGACTCCATCTAATCACAGTCAACATCGACGTTGTTGGAAAGAGAGGTCTGCGATCAAGAAGTCGCCGGTCTTGCCAAATTCTACCCTGTGCTCTCTGGCATCATTTCTGTCACCAAGGCTGTATTTTCAGGCACCAATTTCTTCTTCCTTATTTCCCACGTTCATGACCAATCACCGGTCATTATCAATGCTTCTTGACCTCATGCTGGCTCAATGTCAGACTGTAGAAGTTGGTGAACCTATTCACGTTCTTCATCTTGGGCATCAGTGGTTTTGAGTAAATTTGGGTTATAGGCGTATATTCATTGGTTGATCTTGTAGGCTTATAGGTATTATTTGATTGCTAGCAGCATTGTATTTCCAAATAGTTCTGAGAGTTTTGTTTTGAACCACACATGCTATGCCAGTCCTCTTCAATTCGCCGTTCATGGCAGAGTAGACTACGTGACTGTCTGATTCAAAATGCCCAATAGCAGTAACTCCAATGAAACATGCAAAGACCTGGAGTCAGACAACCAAAGAGCAAAGAACATGCTCAGCATCTCTAGAGTTTAAAGAACCCAAGAAGCCTTCGAGCGTAACACTGAATGGTGCAAGAAGCATCAAGGGCAGACAGGAGGGACGCTCAGAGTCATGGCACAAAAGCCAACTGGTCAGTATCCAACTATCTCAGGAGACAGAATATGATCAATGACTGACTGATGAGAGGGAAGGAAGAAGTTCAAATCCACGCTGCACTGAAGGCACTAGGGGAACACAAGGCTCTGGGAATCGACAGAAGACCATCTGAGATGTTTCGACAAGTGGGTGCAACACCGGGAGCACTCACTTATCTTCTGTGGGGAGTAGAGGGTTCCCCCACAAATCATCACAGGTCCAGTAGGTGCAATTGTATAGCGATAATAAGTAAAGATTCTAGTAAAGTCATAGAGAGCATGAGAGGTAGGGGAGAGATTGGAATGATGGAGTCAGACACAATTCATGGTAGCATGCTCACCTCAGCCCCGCTTGGTGGTCCTCATGGGGGGAGCCTGGCCACGAGAGGAGAGAGCCTTGGGAGCGAGAACAGCAGGAGAGCCCCACCTTTATTCTAACCAAAGGTTATATCTCCTTCGGGAGGCCTGGTTACAGGTAACCACACGTCACCGGAAGGGGCAGTACAATCGGCATACACATCGTAGGAAGGGGATGTATGATAGGCATAAGCGTAACAGGAAGGCGATGAGCTAGGGGTGTGCCCATAGGAATGGGAGGGACTAGGGGTATACATATGGCAAGATGGGCAGACCCTAGATTCATGATGGCAGCCTAACCTTGGTCATCCTTGGGCGGGTTTGACCTCTCTGGTGTCTCCTACAAGGAAACAGACAACCACTATCCTCATCAGAAGGGAGTGGGCCCTACTTGTTGTGGGATAAACAGTGGTGTCTGCTCCGTCTACATGGCTGATAGCTCTTAGGGAGAATGACCCCTGATCTATTCTTGATGACCTCCAAGTGCACAGTCATTCGCAAGCAGCTAAGTTTGGCATATATTTGGGGGAGACAACTTGGGAGAATTCCTTCTGTTTCCACAATCTTCCAGGCCAAAAATTTGCCAAGACAGTTACCTGGACAGCCGACTGGAGGAGGTCATTGGTTGGGCCCCTTCCAAAGAAAGATTATGCAGAATGTAGAAATTATCAAACAGTATAGTTAAGATCACAAGCAAGGACGGTCTCACCGGAGATCATTCAAAAACAGCGACAACACCATGCTGCCAGGAATTCAAGCTGGGTTCAGATGTGGAGGTTATCACTGCTGGTGTCGGAAGGATCTTGAGAATACCAGAGAGATGTTGGCCTGCTTCATTGACTATGCAAAGGAAGGCATTTGGGTGGATCACGGACAACCCAGCAGAATGGTCATTACAGAGCGTCTACAGAGCTGCCGTAGGGACCTGCACGTAAACCAAGAGTTGTGGCTCTAACGGACCAGGGGACACAGGCATGGCTTACAATCAGGGCTGCTTCCTCTCGCCACACTGTCCAATCTGGACACCTGGGGGGCACCATCTGAGAAGCTGGACCCGATGAAGAGGAGGGCACCCGGAGATCTAAGGATCACTGACCACTCCGACAGGTGGATCGCACAACTCTGGGTACAGACAGGAAAGCACTTACTGCAGAGAGCACCACAACCTCCAAGAGTGGTTCTTGCACCCTGCCGACAGGCAGCATGGCATTAAATGAAAGGATGGAAGCTGTCGGGACTTCCGTGGGGCTTGGTTTCCCCGAGCACGGCCTGTGGAAGCAGTAGTCCAGAAGCCTGGCGAAGCAGCGCGCTGGGTGCATGTGCTAAGAAGACCTCAAGACTGTCATTCTGAGGCCAAGGCGCTGGCTCCTGCCTCAAGCCACGGTGTTTGTCATCGCTAAACATGCAAAGCAAAGTTGAACGTTGCACGTTTTTAATATCTTCAAGCCATTGAATTGTGTGGCACGTGAATTCACCAGCTGCTCTGCGTGAGAAAGACGGGGCTTTCTGCTCGTCTCTGAAACCCACAGGGCCATTCCACCATGTCCTACAGGGTCTCTGAGTGGGTGTCGACTCGGGGGCGGTGAATTTGGGTTTGAGAGGTGAAAGCTGCTAACAAAAGGGAGAGCTGAACCTCGACTTCGGGAGAAAGGACGAGTTTGAAACACGTGCTTGCGGAGACTAATAGACGGATGGCATGTGGACTGCCCGAAAGACTGACGAATCTTTCTCAGAAGCTGCACGGCCAGAAGGCAAGGCTACTAAGCAGCGGGGCAGGGGAGGCTTCGCCCCGCTATGTCGGCGTGTGGTCAGGAGAGACCAGTCCCTGGACAGCTGCTGCGTCTTGTCCAGGGGAGAAGGACAGGGTGCAAACGAAGCAGGGCAGCGAGGCACAGGGGGTCCCTCAGCGAGGCAGGCGGGCGGACTGACAGGCACAGTGGCTGTCGTTGCTGCGCATGCGTGTGTGTGCACCGACGGGAAACGCTCCTTACGTTGTGCGTGGAGTCGCTGCGTCGGAACTGACTTGACGCCCCATCAACCAGAGGCCCCGCCCCCACCGCCCAGTGGAACCCGAGGTCCCAAGCCCCGCGTCCTGGCAGCCCGCGCTGGGCCGCTCCCGCGTCCGGCGGTTCCAGGCCAGCGGGTCACTGTGCACGGTCAGAACTGGGCACGTAGAGAACCCTTGGATTGGAACCACAAGGTGTGACATCAATCCCTCAGGTAGGTCATCGTTTTTTTGTTTGTTTTTTTAAAAGGACTGTGTCCTCCACTCCTCCACGCCCTGCAAAGGCCTGGGAGGAGATCCGACCAGGGATGGCGGACGCAGGCGTGGCCTCAGAGCATCTGTTCGGTCCAGGGTCTTGGAGAAATGGCGGAAGATGGGCAGAGCGACGCCAGGACATGGCACAGCCCACAGCAGGGATGCCACCTACTGCCCGTCTGGGCGGCGCCGGGAAGGCTTCTGGCCAGGGGCGTCGCTGGCCTCATCGAGAAGGGAGCGACGCAAGGGCCAGCAGCAGCAGGTCACAGCGATGTGAGGGGCGGAGGGTCACCGGGAGCGGCGACGCAAAAGGAACCTCTCGTGACCTCCTCGCGGGACTCAGAGGGTCCCCCCCCC